GCTGTGGGCCGACGTTTCGTCACGCCGGGTGCAGGGTACGACGACGAGGGGAGGGTCACCACCAGTGCTCATATCACTATTACTGACGACAAACCAGCAGCGTTACCAAAATGACCACATTTGTTGTCTAGGGCTCCCGATGAGGCGACTGAGGCTTTGCTTATCTTAGCTTCTGTCAAGTGCACGGGAAGTTCTTCCGTGGCAGAAGGCGCGCTAACATGGCGCCCGCAACATCCTGAAGGAATAAGAACTCGGTTAGAAATCCCAGGCGGAGCAGCGTCTCCAACAGCGCCAATCAACTTAAAAGTCACTAGGTCACAGTTCTAAAAATTCCGTCACGTTACACGACAGTGGTGCACATGGGATGCAAAACCTCAAAACGAATTCCGTCTGCAGAACTCGCACTGACGTCGCTCGTGAACGCAGGCAAAGAAGTTCTCTACTTTACCCGCTTTTAATAAAATCCGTTAACCACGTCTTAAATCATCAAGCACTGGTCACCTTCATTTCGCCCTGAAGATAGAGGCAGCATGCTTATCCGAAACGTTAGTATCTACCTGTGAGACAATAGAGCATCACAACCAACATCGGCATCTTGACCGCCGTCAGAACCTCAAATCTGATCACCAAGATTACAGCCCAACACATGTCAGAGCACCCACCCTACTTAGAAAAGGCATTTTCGAATTAGCGCCTTTGTCAGTCCCTTATCATCATCATCGTCCACGTTTTCTTCGTATGTGGACGGGCGCACTCAAACTTCTGCGTTGGGTAGGAAAACGAAACGAGAATTTCTCGACGAGTGCGATTTTGACGCACGAACGCGACTGCCAGTAACGACAGATCAAAATGGACACGGACATTGAAGGCGGAGAGAACAAAAACAAAAACAAAAACAAAAAATGGACCCAAAACCAAAACGTGATGGAGAGTCGGGAAACGCTGACTGCTTCAAGTGTTGATGGCAGAATCATGCAGACAATGACTGTCAATCAATACTTTAAACGAGCTATGATATTCAGCCCACTCGCCGTTCAAGTGCGAACAGCGTCCCCACTCATTTGTTCGCGCTGCAAACAGCGCCCTTACTTAAGTGGCAGCTTAATCCGAACACAGGACACGAACCGTTTCGCGTCATCCTCGATACGGTACAGCGATCTCGTGGCGAGAGTTCTAACTAAAATCCCGGGTTCGATCTCAACTGTCACCACCACCACCTGAAGACGGCAGAAAATACAACTCCCGAAACGTCGTGTCAACGCACAGCCAACACATGAGAAAAATGACAATAGCCAGGCCAGCGGATGACTTTTCCTTCGGTTGTGCGTTGCGTCAAGAACACGTTCCCTTCGTTAACAACAGCTGAAAAGTAAAACATCTCATCTTAAGAGCTCTTAATTCAAAAAGCGATTATGACAGATGCCAGCTAATCCAAGTTGAAAATATTTCAGAAAATTTTGGAGGAAACGGACAGACAGACAGACACGCAATGACGCAGGACGCAGATAAAGTTTTAGTAACGGGTGACTCGAAAGCCTGTAGAACGGTTTCAACTAGTCAAAGACAAAGGACACCCGGAGAGAAATGGAACGCCTCAGCCCCTGCACTGACACAGGCAAAACAGACAAGCACGAGAACGAACCAAAGACTCGAAGGAAATAGAAAAGAAGAAACAGTGTGTGAGGCGACAGCTAATTCTGCTGCGTTCACGTGGGCAGCCTGAAGAAAACCATGACTTTCACGACGGCGTCCGTGAACGAAATCTACTTTGCCGATCTGCACCCGGGAGGACACGAGAGCGCACGAACCTTGTACCTCTGAAGCCGGAGAACGCGACTGCGAATTACTTCGCCTGTAACGTTCAGACAGCTGCTTTACGCCTCGCCTCGCCTCGCCTTGCTGCACGCTCCGACCGATTGTGCGTGTGGTTGTTTAACGACGCTATCAGTAGCTCGGACTACAGAACCGCAGCGGCGAATAACAGGATGACAAATGAACTGGGAGGGATACGGAAGGAAGCGGTGGCTGAAAACGGGAAGCGAGGCGTGAGGACGTGACAGAAGCAGAAATGATTTACGTACATCTTCTGGGTATATTTGACTGTGGCAGTGCGTTTCAGGAGAACGCGGAGACAGGGGGGACGGTGTCACGAAGGCAGATTTTGGGCAAATTTTGTATGGAATGGCGGTATTTCTGCGGCACAGAACCTTGGCTCTGACTGCAGTTATTACGCGGCCAGGAAGCAATTCTGATACATGACGCACAGCCGAATTGAGACTTATATACAGATCCTCAAACATAACAGCCTCTGGGTCAAAGCCGTGATTACATTTCCGATGTTGACAAGTTTCCTTGCAGAAAACGCGATATGAAACGGGCACAGCTACCTGGCGCCCTCGTTGCAGCCAGATTTACTCCTGAGAGCGTGGCATTTAAATAAACAAACAGCGATCCCCATAGAAACAGACGCAAACGCCTCCTTCTGAATCCTGATTCACCACGCGCAGTCATCAGGACCGCACGTCGACGAGTATGAATATGCTGATGCAGGTACCTCTGAAACGTCGGTAAATTTCTATCAGCCTGTACGGCGCAACGTCCAATTGTACGATTTTAGAGGCTCAGCAAAGACAACGTCGTTAAACAACGCGCATAAACTAGCAAGACGTCAGCTGTTCCATGTTCGCGTAATGTGTAAACCCGTTTGAAGTGTTGTCTCCAACAAACAGAAGGACGCAGTACATTTTTTTTTTTTTCGTTTATCGGCGTAAACTGAGAGAAGTCACTTTGTTCCTTGAAACGACAGCTTGGAGCGCTGCTGTTACCGCAAAATTTCAATATAGTCTGAGGGCGTTGTTTGCGTGAAAGCAAATGTCTACTCTACGTTTCTGTCAGCAAGGGAATCCACACAAGATTAGTAATTAGCCGAATTTCAAAAATGAAGTCCCGGGTCGGTTCAAACGGAAGGCGGCACCCACGAGTGATCGATCAACTTAGCAGCCGCTAACAAGCGACGCTGGTCGAAGCAGAACGAGAAATCGATTCTTACACGTCGAGATCTAATCGCAGGTTCTCACGATGACGAGCTTGAAGACGGCGTCGTATTCGCAGTCCGAAACAAACTGACCAGCGTTTTAGAGGCGTCATCAGAGCGCGCAACATTCCAGAAGACTCTTCAGCTCTGTGAAATAAAAAGAACGCACATCTGTTGAGATTACTGTCATGCAACCATGACGGCGAGAGGACACTGCAGCAGCTAGATGGCGGGGCAAACTTTTAGGATTTTATCATCAAATTCACTTGCAAGTCTGCCCAAGACAAAAGCGCACTAAGTTGCGCGTAACCTATTCAAAATATTTTTATCTCTGTTGAACGATTATCAAGATGTTACAAAATGTACGCATGTTTAGACCCTCGTGTGACTAAACATCCTGAGACAGTCGGCGCTTCGAGGGAGACGCAGGATTAAACAAAGAAACGTCGATTCGACTGTGTCTTCTGCACACGGAAGTTTCATGGCGAGTGACTGAGTCAAACTTTCCACAGAACCTGAGATGTCGCCTTTTACAGTACGTAATTAGCGTCGATTTCCGCTGCAGGTCTCAATATGAAGTAAAACGTAAGTTTGTTTGTTGTTCTGGGACTGGGAAACGACGAAGACTCGAGCGACTTCGTGTGAAAGACTGAGATGAAGGACGGCAAAACTTGATTTAGATTTCATTTTCACTGATAGGAGTAACCTAACCGCGTAAGCCAAGTTTCATTATGACGTAACTAAACCTCAGATAAGACAGACAGAACGGAATGATCTCGACGTAATTCTTCGATGCATTTGCCTCGCATTATTTCTGCACGTCCTCGCGAGTTACGTCCGCTTTTGCACGGAACTCCATCGCCCGTGCTGCTGATCTGCAATTTATTTATATTTCTTTAATTGAAGTGTTTGTATCCAAAGCGTCACTGCTCAGAAACTCGATAACCTTGGAACGGGAAACACGAAAGAGGTTCAGAACTTGCGAGCAAGTCAGAGGATGTAACTTGGAGCCAATCTTGTTTCGTTAATTAATTCCAACGGGACGTTACCTTCTGTAATGGAAGTGGGGGCGAGGCACCCTTGAGTCACGTGCGGTTAATCAGCCACGGCGTTACAGCAAGAACAGAAATCAAATTCATTGGAATGGTCCTGAACCTTTTTATTCCACCCGGGTGGCGATGTATAATGAACCCACTCAAGGGATAATCCCTTCTGCAGCTCCTCGAAATGACTGGAGAAAATCGCGAGAGCGTAGAAGGGCCAGCGCGCATATTTTGCGTTAGACTGCGTGACAATTACGTCTCGGTAGAGTGGATTTATCTGGCTCATGACAAGAACCAGTGGCGAGCTGTGGTGATGATCGCTGGGGTTAAGGCAGGGAATTTGACGGGCTGAGCGACGATCAGCTTGTTCGTGAGACCGGCTCAGGCTGTGTCCCGCTTCCGCACGGCGTCCGGCGATTAAAATTCCGAACCTTAAAAAAAAAATTCGACAGCAGAAGTCGGCGGTTCAAACGGAAACACAATTTGAGCGCGTGGTTTGTGGCGAAGTTGCGGAACCCGGAACTAACTCGCACACGAGAGTGATCGAACTCATTGCATCTCGCTGTTCGAGACCCAAATTTATGGAACCAATGTTTGTGAACAGAGTTCGAGAAGCGCCTTGTGGTGGTGTCTGAGATCCCAGCGAACTGTCATCTCCCACCCAGGACGTGGCTGTGGCGAGATAAACCGAAACTGGTCCATCAAATGAAACAGTTCAGCTGGGCGGTTCGTGCCGCCTGCAAATTCCCGTGGCTCTCGGAAATCCGCGTCAGATTGCGGCTTACACACTCCCAACGAAGACCGGGCACTTCCCCTCTCCTCCCTCGCATAATCTACAACCCAGGGCCCGCAAACACCCAGAAGTTGTTGAGAGGCCCCGCAAATCCAATGGTTTCATTCACGCCTGAAATAAATTACGATAAAGTCAGCAAAGCTTTGAACCTTCAGCAACACGAGTTGCACCCCCGGGCTGCAGGCGTACGATGAAAGACACCCACGTAGAGTAAACAGACGACGGGCGTCAGTAACTGGAAACATCTGGCGGGAGAACTTAGCCTCATGGTCTAGCTGGGTGTTTGTTTCTATTTCACAAACAGTGACCGCCTTGTTCAGTGACTACAGATGGCGGGGGTCTGAGGCAAGCAGCTACCAAGTCACGTGGCAAAACGCTGAGAAGTTAGCCTCTCCATCATTTTGTTGGTGCATTTGCTGAATTATTATTTGTATTAATTGTGACTGTATTTTTGCAAAGCACGGCGATACGACACTATTATAAAATGCAGACGGGCCGCGGGTTTAAAACGGCTGTGTTAGGTTAGTAAACACCAGCCCTTAAAAGAACTCGCGCTCGGAGCGGAATGTAAACGTGCAGGCCTATAATTGGCCTAAACTCTTGAACTTTGTGTATCACCCACTGATTTCCTTGCTTAAAACAACGTTTCGGAAATTAGCCGGTAGGAGGACGGAAAGTTGAGAGTTCTTCTTGTTAAATTATTCCGTCACGATAAAATCAGCTCACGCAATTATTAAACTAACATTATCTAACGCTCATTAGTGATTTTAACAAACAAACTAACTAATTCAGTGGAGCAGAGACATTCTTATGCAGTTCACAGTCGCTCAGTTCCGCCTTCAACGTGACCAGAAGGCTCATCACCGTGTTCGCAAAAGCCCGCCAGCGATTCCTGTCTTGAGCCAGATGAATCCAGTCCACACATTCACCCATCCTGTTTCTTTAAGATGCTCCCTTCAGGGTTTCCTACTAAGATCTGTAATAATTTCTCTTCTCCACAATGCATTCTACATGCCCCGCCCATCTCATCCTAACAATATTTTGCGAACAGCAAAAATGCAGAAACTCGTAATTATGCAATTTTCCCAGCCTCCTGTCGCTCCATCCCTCTTAGGCACAAACTTCATCCCGAAAATCTCAGAGCCCTGAAACCCCCCACAAAAAGTCCTCCCTCAAACTCGGAGATACTTCAGCTTCGACTCCGAATACGGACACGGCGTGATCCTCCGAAACGTCGTTAACTGTCTTACAAGTCCTCACGGCGTTGCAACCCAGAAGTCCGACACTAGCATAAAATAAACGTTGAAAGGTTAGGAAAGTGACAGATTTCTGGGTTGTAGTCTGGTAGAAGTTTACCATCGGTTCAGAGGTACCTACCGCCTCCATCATCAGGGCGACGAAGTTCCACCCTATGAACCCAAACCAAAAGCAGCTGGGACGGTCCGACACTCGCTTCTGACGCCAGGGATTCGGTTAATTTTGCCAGGATTCCCCGCTGCCAGTTGCACAGCTCGCCTGTCTCCTGTTTCACTTGGTATTGCAGGACGGCGAACAGACTTGCGACGTTAAAGAACGTGCCGATCGTCTCCATTTGCTTATTTGATCCTGGGGAAGTTGGAACACGATCTTCGCCAACCGTACTGTTTAATGTCGTATCAATATCAACGCGAGCACAGAGAGACGCCAGCTAGAAGACGTCGCTTGCCTCGGTCTGTGCGGATCGACTCGACGACACAGACGGAGAAACTTACGTGACAAAGAGCTTAATGCGGTCTAGGCCTAACTAACAATCGGAGGAAGACCGAGGAAGCCGTGGCGACGAAACATCGCACGTGTCCTCTGCCGCGGGTTGCCTACCCTTGTTTCCAATTTAGCCTAATTAAAGCAAACTGGGAGAGAATTGAGCTTAATGGCCACGAAAATAACCCCGGCCTCTTTCTGTGGCGTCCGACTCGCTCAAACTGCGCAACACACGAGGCCTGGGAAATTCATGTGCGTATCTTCGGAAAGTCGTTATCCGGACGAATCCGAGGGCCACAGCCATCACACGATTTGGTCCTTCTGGCATTATAACGAGCAGGTTAGTACAGCGGTAATGCTCTACGCTTGCACTGGACGCATTTCGGCCTACTGTACAAACCAAAAACATTATCTCCCGCTGGCTTTGTTCTGTCTTCCTTCTACCCGTAAGCTAGTGATGTAAGCGAAACGCACAGTTTGCTCCCGGCTACTTGTACTTACTTGCGGAAGTAAAGACGTACCCAAAAGTTTTTACACACATTCGATGAATAAAATAAAAACATTTTAATAAACTAAAGCATTACATGGGTGAGCACTTAGTAAATTTGCGAATCTAGTGCAAAATGACCACCGTCAGCTTCGTGGGGCAGTTGACAGCGGCGAGCAAACTGCCTGGCAAGTGGCCACCGAAGTTACTGCCGTGTACACATGTTTTTGATACAGCCTGTATTTTATACGCCGTCCTTGCACGCACACAGCTCCAGAGACAGACATGACATTAAAGCAGCGGATACAAGCGGCTAAAAACTATATTACACATGACGAAGTTCAGTTTGCAGGAATTTCCGACCGATTCTTGGGATATTCAACAACGCCCTCTCAACTACATGGGTCATACAGCGTCCAGAAGTCGGATGACTTGGAATTATGTACTCGCCGCTTTATCCATGACAAAATGAACTGTGGCTTCGACTGAATTTATTATTATTATTATTATTATTATTAAAACGGCGGTTCGATTGAGGCGTGCGTCTGTGACGGCTAATTAACGCCAACCATTTAGCACAAGTTTGAAGAGGCGTCACACAGCACATTAAAATACAGTGAGTTCCAGAACATTACAGTTCATCACATTGTAATGTTTCGTTTAAAGTATTAAGCCCACAAAGATTTACAAATGAGCGGAGGTTCAGGTTTGGAAAGGCAGAGTTCCTTCAGCAGACAAAGCCCTTCGGAAGTTCCTTCGACCGAAACAGACCGAGAGAATGTTGGGTTGTAGCGCAGTACGGCCTGGTTTGGTCCGAAACGACGGCAGACTTCCACGAAACTTCGCGGTCTGACAGGGCCCGAGTCTCTCGGTGCTGGTCAGGATCACGCCGACCGGCGCTTAAATCGGAAGGCATTCTGAGAGACAACAGCTTTGCTGTCTCCAAAGTGGTCGTAAGATCGAATTTTTAAAATATGTGTTGTTCATGTCTCAGGGTAATGCAGGGTGCCGCACACCTGCACTACGAACGCAGGACTGACGCACAGATACTTCGCAAATCTTCGAACTACGCGCACCATCGTCGTAAAAACAGAGTTTCGGCCCAAAAAGATTTTCCAACCAGAACGCGCATCCCACCCGTTATTAACAACGGTCGCTTTATTTATCTGTGGTGGGGGAATTTCAATTTGTGAGCACAAATAAAACCACGACATTTAAAATCATCCCATACCCATTCGTGTACGAATTCGCTGCCCTTGGTAGAAAGGGGCAAAGATCAATACACGGGTTTAATGTAACAAGACAGTAACTGATCGGCGCGTTGCGTTGGTCCCATTTCACGAGTCAAATGCACCACTGTCATGAAACCTTCCTCCGACTAGAAGCGACTTCAGACGAAGATGACTGTCGTCTGGCGACATCCGCCCGACGTTTCGTGATGCTCGCACCCTAGCCTCTGATCCCAGAAGACAGTCATCTTCAAACTCGCCGCCGTGAGAACCTGACATCTCACCTGTCACCAGCTTGTCCACAAACCTCGAAGGAAGGAATCTGCCACTCCTGTCGAAACAGAGAGCTCCAGTAGCCAATTACTTCACTGACAACACCACGCGTTGCTCACTCATGCGGCTCGCGAGCGCTACAGCGCACAGTCTGCGAACTACCACGCCTGCCTGCCTACAGCCAGCAACTGACGGCATTTTCGTGGTCTTCCGAGGGAAGAATTGGGTAGGAGAGCAGACGACCGCGTCCACGCATGCGTAGTAGGTACTGTGGAGTGGGAGTCACATTATGCGCGTTCTGTGTCGTGGGATGCAGAGTACAATACCTGGGCGACGTTTCGACGCATGTACATCGGATCATCCCGCTCACGGGTGACTGTCGTCTTAATAGACGCTGCGTGCGGGTGGGTGGGTGGACAATGGACCAGCGTCAAGATCTCCTGAATTAGACGTGATAGTGAGCCTACCAGCAGA